TGGCACAATCTCAGCTCACTGCAACCTCCGCCTCCCGGGTTCAAGCAATTCTCCTGCCTCAGCCTCCTGAGTAGCTGGGACCACAGGCGCACGCCACGGCGCCCAGCTAGTTTTTTTTGTATTTTTAGTAGAGACGGGGTTTCACCAGGTTGGCCAGGATGGTCTCGATCTCTTGACCTCTTGATCCGCCCGCCTCGGCCTCCCAAAGTGCTGGGATTACAGGCTTGAGCCACCGTGCCCGGCCATGATTTTCTTATTGTTAAGGCTAAAAGGAAGAGGGTCCTCTTTAAGTAATATTGCTTATTTTAATATGTATTGTTAAAAGATGGTATTTATTCATGTATTTAGCACATTATATGATTATTTGTCTTGTCTTATTTTCTCAGATAAAAGAATGCACTTATTAGCCAGGCGTGGTGGTGCATGCTTGTAGTCCCAGCTACTCGGGAGGCTGAGGCAGGAGAATCACATGAACCTGGGTGGCGGAGGTTGCAGTGAGCTGAGATTGTGCCACTATTCCAGCCTGGCGACAGAGCAAGATTCCGTCTCAAAACAAAAACAAACGAAAGAACGCACTTAGTGAAACCCTTACCTGTATATGGCCAGTGTGTTGTATTATGCTGTACCCTTCAGCACTGCATTTCTCATTTGGAAAATATAAATGTGTTGCTGGTGGCGGAAACAGTCTCAGAGTTGCTAGGAGGCAGCCATATGGTTAACTTTTTTTTCCCCCCGAGATGGAGTCTTGCTCCGTCACCCAGGATGGAGTGCCATGGCGCGATCTCTGCCCACTGCAACCTCCGCCTCCCGAGTTAAGGCGATTCTCAAGTCTCAGCCTCCCAAGTAACTAGGACTACAGGTGTGCATCACCATGCCCTGATACTTTTTATATTTTTAGTAGAAACAAGGTTTTACCATGTTGGCCAGTCTGGTTTCAAATTCCTCACCCCAGGTGATCTGCCCGCCTTAGCTCTCAAAGTGCTGGGATTACAGCTGTGTGCCACTGTGCCTGGCCAGTTTTTGTATTTTTAGTAGAGATGAGGTTTCACCGTGTTGGCCAGGCTGGTCTCAAACTCCTGGCCTCAAGTGATCTGCCTGCCTCAGCCTCCCAAAGTGCTGGGATACAGGTGTGAGCCACCATGCCCTGGCCTATGGTTAACTTTTAATGTTTCCCCACTATTAGACATGCTTATTAATAGTAATGGTTAATCTTAAATTTTTGATGTTAACTAGTCAGTTATTTCAGATTGCAAGAGTCAGCAGTATGTTCTTGCATATTTATTTGTTGACTTGTTTTTTATGTTTTTGAGACAAAGTTTCACTGTCAGCCAGGCTTAGTGCAGTAGCACTCTTAGGGCTCATTGCAGCCTTGAACTCCCAGACTCAAGAGATCCTTCCACCTCAGCCTCCTGAGTAGCTGAGACTTCAGGTACATACCACATCTGTCTATTTTTTTTTTTTTTTGTAGACAGGGGTCTTGCCATGTTGCCCAGGCTGATCTCAAACTCCTGGATTCAAGCAATCCTCCTGCCTCAAATTTTCAAGTGATAGGATTACAGGCATGAGCCACTGCGCTCAGCCCTTCTTACATATTTAAAAATACTAATTTTTAAATAGATTTTTTTTTTAGACCTTTAGCAAGCAAGACTTGAGCTAAGTGTGGCTACTGAGGATCACAGCCAAGGAGTAAAGAAGATGAAAGAATTTGAATTTGCCACAAGTTGATTTGTTAATTTGTACTTTAGTGATAAGTCATGGTCTTTTTAGGATCTTGCTAATTCTTGCTTCATTATACATGGGAATTTCTTGAGGAATTTAGTAAGGACAGGAAAAGACATCAGTTATGTACCTCTTTCTGCATTCTTAATATCAACAAATAACTGATGAGCTCTTTATTTCATCAACAGATATTTGTTACTAACACACTGAGTCAGTTAGCTTAGGCTAAAAAGCAGGCTGCAGAATGAAACTTCAAGATGGCAATGTCGGCCTCAACGTGGCTCATGTTATATGTTCTAGAAGGGTTAACCACAGGTGTGTTCCTATTCTGTTCATTCTAGAACCTGAAGGAACCTTTCCAAGCTGGGACAGATGGGCCTCAAAGCAGAGAGAAAAAGAGAGATGGTAGAACCACATGTTGTATTAGTCTGTTTCACATTGCTATAAAAGAATACCTGAAGCTGGGTGATTTATGAGGAAAATAGGTTTATTTGGCTCATAGTTCTTCAGGCTTTACCAGAAGCATGGCACCAGAATCTGCTTCTGGCAAGGAACCTCAGGGAGCTTCCAATCATGGCAGAAAGCAAAGGGGAGCAGGTTTCACATGGTAAGAGAAGGAACAAGAGGGAGGGGGGAAAGTGCAGGCTCTTTTTAACAGTCAGGTCTCATGGTCACAGTGTGAGCAAGGACAGCATCTAGAAGTTCATGGGGGATCTGCCCTTATGACCCAGAGACTTCCCACTAGGCCCTGCCTCCAATATTAGGGATCAGATTTCAACATGAGATTGGGAGGGGACAAACAGCCAAACCACACATGCTACTTTCACTCACATTTTATTGGTCAAAGCAAGTTATATGGCTAAGTTCCACTCTGGACCCACAGTGAGAGGGCCAGTGAATGTTTTTGCAATAATGTCTGCCACAGTGCCTTCTCACATTTTAAAAACTGTGGTTAAAAACCCCATAATATTTACCACCTTAACCATTTTTATGTGTACAGTATAGTAGTGTTAACTATATGTAAACGGTTGTGCAACAAGTCTCTAGGTTTGCTCCTCTTGTAAAACAAACTCTATACTCGCTGAACTTGCCTTTCCTCCCTCTCTCTAGTCCCTGGAGACTGCCACTCTTCTAAGAGTTTGATGACCTCAGATACCTCATATAGGTGAAATTATGCAGAGTTTGTCTTTTTGTCACTGGCTTGTTTTACTTAGCATAATTTCCTAAAGATTCATCCATGTTATGGCATATGGCCAGATTTCCATCTCTGAAGGCTGAGTAATACTCCATTGTTACTCATACACTGAATCAGTTAGTTAGGCTAACTGTATACAGCATCGGTTATCGAATCATCAGTCAGTGGACATTTGGGTTGCTATAGATTGTGAATAATACTGCAGTGAACACAGATGTGCAAATATCTCTTTGAGATCCTGTTTTCTTTTCTTTTGGATATGTAGCCTTCCCACATCTGTTTTTTTTTTAAATTATTTATTTATTTATTTTACAATAGCGACAGAGTCTTGCTATGTTGCCCAGGCTCAAGTGACCCTATCACCTCAGATTCCCAAAGTGCTGGGATTACAGGTGTGAGCCATTGTGCCTGACCCCACATTCTTAATCATTA